CTTTCACCAACACACACAACGAAACGGCGACTTAGGAGCACCGTTAAGCGATGACGACGAGCACAGCAGCAACAAGAACAAACAGGAGAAAAGGAACAAGAAGCAGTAGCTAAACTTGCAAGCAGACGGCAACAACAACAACAACAACAACAAAAACAGTAACAATCGGCAAGAGCAAAAACAACATCTCAACTGACTGCCAACGACTTCTAATAAAAAAAATAAAAAAAAACCCGAGACATAGCAGTGGCAGCAAGAAAATTGTTCAAGAAAATTCTTATAAGAAATTAGCAAAAACGATGACGACAGCAGCAGCAGCAGCGATGCGATTTTGCCGTTAGCTTTTTTCCTCCCATTTCGTTGTTTTTTTTTTCCTTTGAGTTTTTTAGTTGGGTGAAACGCATTGCTCAAGAACAGGCAGAAAGAAAGAGACAGGGAGTCGCCCCCCAAACGAGAGAGAACTGGACCACAGAAAAAGAGAGATAAAATAAGAGAGCGCGAGAGCGAAGTCAAGGCGCGACTTGCAGCGCGACAGAAACAACAACAAAAGCAAAACCAACAAAAGCAGAAGCAGCAGCCAAAGGCGAAAGACAATTGCAGCACACCGATTCGATCAGGCGACAAAGGTGACGAAAGCAATTCGTTTTGGTGACTTGTCCTTATTTTAAAGGATTTAAGGCAAAAGAATTAAATAGTTTAATTATTATTGGGATTTCACAATACCAATTATTATATTATTAATAGACATCATAAAAATGTGTTAAAAATTTACTAACATCGACAAGAAGCAAAGTCGTCTTGGGTAAAAAAAATGTGTAATAAAAAACAGAAACTTGGTAAAAATGCATTTAAAATATTATTCTTCAAGCAGTTTATAAAGTAAAAACAAACATATTATATATATATCAATTTAAACAAAAGATAAAACCCCTTAAACTGCATTTCAACTTCCTTCGAGAAACTCCCTTACCAACAGCTGACCCTTGACCGTTTTGTCGCCTGCACCCGTGGACGAAGAGCACTTTTCAGTCTCCAACTACCGGATGCTTGGGCTTTAGCTTTTTCTCACTGGCCGTCAACGACTACGGAATATACATATATAGGAATATATATTGCATATATATATATATATATATAGTAGTAAAAAAAAAAGGAAAACCACACACACTCGACGAAGGAGAGCAAAGGCAATGGCAAAACAAAATATTGCAGACGCAGAAGCAAAGGCAGGAGGAGGAGACGACTAAAAAATGATTTCGTTGTTCATAAATCAGTTGCAATTAAAATTAACTGGGGGAAGAATGCAAGGCTTATTAGATTTGTGGTCAAGCGGCGGCATTTCAACCGCTTGCAGTTGCCATCGCCGTCGCAGTTGGCGTCGCCGTAGCCAGTAGCCGGCACGCGAGTGCAATTTTTTTTATATATATTTTTTTTTCATTTTTTTTTTTGTATTATTCGGGGTGGGGCGCGAATTACACTTGTGTTGAAATTGCTATTGCATTCTTGCACATAATTGACACACACAAGAAAAAAAATTTCAGAAAAAAAATATATTTCACATTTAGGCATTTGTTGTTGTTGTTTTTTTCCGTCTTTTTTTACGTTTTTTTTCTTTCCACACTCGCGGCATTTGTTTAATAACAGTCAAAGGGAAGAGGCAGAGAACAATAATTGCCCGTTGTTGTCATTATATTAATTTGTTTGTTGTTCTACAAGTGCCGCATTTATTTATTAATACAAACACGAACACGAATGTCGAGCACGTTACGTATACGCAATGTGGACGCTGTTTTGTTGTTACGCCCTGCATCATGGTGGTGACGTACGAACATCAGCATAAGCATCATCGTTAGTCACGTAATTATCAGCATCATCATCATTATCGTCATCGTTCAGATTTTTTTGTTTCGTGCATCACAAACACGCGCAGACCACGTTACGTATACGCAATGTTGCTTGCCACAGCATCTTTATATCTTGTTTTTTTTGTTTTTTTTTGTTACCCACGAATTTGAGCATTTCTGAGGCATCGCCGTCGCAGTCTCAGTCTCTCAGTTGCTCCGTTTCGCACTTTCTCGATTTCTCAGTTTCTCGGCTTTTCTCAGTCTCCGTTGCCGTCGACGTCTAAATGCGAACTAAAAATCCGAGAAACACGGCGGAACTGATGGCGGTCCGGTCCATTCCGTCCGGATGGATAGAATAAAAAGGCACAAGAACCGAGAATTGAGAAAAACGAGAAAAGAGGAGAACCCACACACAGAGAAGATGAAGAGCCGGCACAAAGCGGACGAAACGCGGCCAAAAAGGCAAACGCCAAATCCTTTTTAGCTCTCTCCGTTGGCTTGTTATCGCCGCGTTGGTAACAGAGTCGCAGCAGCCAAGGAAAGGCGAGTTCTGTTCAGGCGGCTTGAGTTTGATTTTGAGTTTGAGTCAGAGTTCTCTCTTCTGGCCACTCTTTTTCTCTCTCTCTCTCTATATTTCTCTTTCGCTTTGGCATACATACAAATGCAATGTGCATATTGGGGTGAACCTTTACGAATTAATAGCTAGCTTAAGATGGTTTTTAAACGATGCATCCGCTGTAGATGTCTTTATCAGAAGGTAAAATTGAAGAAAAATCTTAATTCTGATATCATTTTAAGGCAGACTTATCTTAAGTAACTTTACCAAAAAGAAAGTACAAAATCTAAACCAACTTTTTCTAGAATTTAGTTTTATCCTTTCATAAATAACACACTGTTAACCAAAATGTCAACAAAACATGAGACCATTTCATAAATACAATTAAAAGCCACTCACAGAAGTCCGAGTTAAAAGCCTAAGACAGGTCCACCCTGTCGTGCACTGTGTTGCGTGTGTGTATGTCAACACGGATGAACGAACGTCAAATAGAACATGTGCTAACTGTCAGCACAGCGCCAAGTACAAACACTCACGCGGGACATGAATGGAGAGATGTTGTGGGGTTGGGTTGGGGCAATGCTTTCGATGGCGGATGAAAATGGAGATGGAGATGTGAATGAGGATGTGAATGTGAATGAACAGCCAGTAAGCCACCACCTCCTTTACAGTGGAACTGAGGGAGGGGTTAGCCTACTTAAAGGATGCAACCGACAAAGGCGACGACATCGTCGCTGAGCACAGTGGATAATTAATGAGTTCGAATGTAGGGACCCGCCTTGGATATGAATCAATGGGGTGGAATAAATGTGTTGGCATTGAGTGATCCTGCGAATAAGGGGTAAAAAATGCTAAACGAATCAATTTTCACTACGTGGATTGTTAACTTTATTTGCAAATGTTAAATAGAACGATTCAAGTCATTTAAGTTTATTTCTTTATCAGTTTGATATTACTAATTGGCAATAAGATAAAGATCTTTGAAACATAGATTGGGATGTCTAAAAACGGACTTTTAACTCCGCTTAGCTTTATTATCATAAATTACAGGACTCATTGCCTGAAAACCTATTACTTTTCGATAATTTTAATTTAAATCGATATGCGGAGTTTTTTCTTTTTTGGCGCCGAAAGGCAACAGCCAGAGAGCACGCCCTATTCTACCATCTCATGTGAGTGAAATGCGAAATACAGGGAGGCAATATGCTGCCCGCTTTTAGGCGTTTAAGCGCAACTTTTGTAATATGCATTTTGCCTCCGCCTCTGTCTCGCTGTCTATGTATATGTACTTGTGTGTGTGTGTGTGTGTGTTTCTGTGTGTCTGTGTAAGTCGAAAGGTAAATGACATCAATGGAGGTTGGCTGGCTCCTCTCAGTCGCTGCTGCCTGCAGGCTAGCTAGCTTGCTTGCTTGCTTTTTGCTTGCATTTCGTTTCCGTTTGCTGCTTGCCTGCTTACAGTTTCCGACTGTGGCCAGAATATATACTAATACAAGCGCATAAAAAAGAGCACCCAAATACACTAACACACTCACACAGAGGCATATACAAACAAGAGGCTTATTGGGCGCGCGCCTAAGTGTATGCAGTTAAAAAAAAATATATATTAATCGTCCTGGCTTGAGGTTTTGAGTGATTTTTGTAAGTTTAGAACATATATTAGGAGAAAATTTGATCTAAAATATTCTTAAAAATTACTCTTAATTACTTAAACAACTTGGAAATTCTTAATTTGAGGACAAACAAGACTTTTTATACCTTGTTTTTTTGGAAAAAATATCTAAAAGATAAGATTTTTAGAGCTTGCTTCAAAAATGATACAAAAAATCATAAAAAAAAAAACAACAAATTTTCCCCCAGTGCTTGCAATATTTCTTCTCGACGACCGCAAAAGGTAAAAAGATGCGCGAAGGGAATAAAGCAAGGAATGGCGGAAGGAAGGAAGGAAGCCAAAAGGACATCGCCAATCCGCACACATCTTTGCGCCTATTTAATAACTAATCCCAGACTCTCCACCCCCCCTCCCCAAAAACTTTTCCAACCAAAATGGTTGGTTCTCATCTCCTGAGAAGGAGATGAAGAAGAAGAAGAAGAAGAAAAACACCAACCATCAGGCAATTTTGTGCTGGAAACTTTTTGCCCAGTAAGAAGTAAATTTTTCGCCTATTGTTCAAGGATAATAGAAATCAATGACAATTCTGGAATATTCCAAGGGGTAAATATACCCCCCCCCCCTTTTTTTCTTCTTGGCCATAAACAAATTGAGTTAGGCACCTAAGAAAATCGATTTCTTGATTATCAAGCAGAGGGATTTTCTTTTCGAAATGAATAACTTTTAAGCTGGAAAGATTCTTCGAAGATGTAGATTAAAAATCTTACTTAACTTAAGTTATTAACTAAAAAGAAAGTTCTTTGGAATATCTTTAAGATTCCAGCTAGAATATAGATATTAAGTTTTTTCTTTTATAGACTTTAAAGTGGAAAATCTCAAGTTTCTTATCCCACCAAAAGATTGGTTTCCCATAAATTCAAAGATAATCTCCCCAATCTACCATATAGAATCCTAACTTATCAAAATATAAAACTTAATATCGAGCACTTACCACTTGGATCATGATGCGGTGGCCCAACTCCTGGCTGCTGGTGTTGATGCTGATGATGATGCAGTGGACTCGGAGCACAGAAGGCGCTCGAACCGCCGCCCAAAGTAGGCGGTGGCATGCCCACACTGGAGGGCGGTGGATAGGCGCTGGCACGATACGAAGGCGGTGGTGATCCCACATCGCAACGCTCGGGCGGTACACTAACCGGATTGGGTACGGGCACTGGCACTGGAACCGGAACGGGTGCACCAGGCGGTGGGCCATAGTGACCCTGAGGCGGTGGTGGTGGACCACCGTAATGATGTGGTGGCGGTGGACCACCATGATACTCGGCTGCCTGTTGGTAATGATGTGCATGGGCCGCATGGGCGGCATACTGATGTTGATGGTGCATGTGCAGCACTCCACCGCCTCCTGGAGCCAACTGATGGGCATGGTAGGCGGCGGCGGCCGCTGCCGCAGCTGCAGCAGCAGCATATGAGGGCGGCGGTGGTCCATGATGTTCGGGCAGGGCGTGCTCTGTATGCAATCCGAGATCAGGGGCATGGTACATCCCGGCGCTGAGATGTTCGCCGGGCAAGAGGACATGCGGTCCCGGCGGCGCTGCATGAACAGGAAGCGGCGGGGAGCTGTGAGCTGATGGGTAATAAGGAGAGGGGGATTACGTAATGTTAAAAATATATAAAAAAAAGAAAAGCTAAAGAAAAACTACATGGAAAATTCTAGAGTTTTCCTCACCTTCGCTTAATCCAGAACTTGCGCCCGGTGGCAGCATGCTGGACAGAGCGCTAAGCGGTGTGTAGGACTTGGGTGGCTCTACGGAGCCGGGACGCAGGACGCGCTCCTCGGTGACGCTCGACTGGACGCGATACTGCATCTTACAGTAGGCCTCCTGGGCAGCGCCATTGCTGGCATTCACATAGACACCGGTAATGGTTACATCCGTGTCCTGGACAATTACCACCGACGATGAGGTGGGTCGACTGCAGTCCTTGGCATCCTTAGTGCTGGCCGCTGAATCGCGGTAACCAGTGGTGGTTATGGTAGTGTCCGTATTAGTCTCCTTGGTCTCCTTCGAGTATTTGGAGTCGTTGCTTTCCTCGATAATGGAATGGCTGGACATCTTGCCAATAGCTGAATCCTTCGAGTCCTTCAGCTCGTTTTCCCGCTCCCTCTTACGTTCGGATTCCCTTTCACGTTCCCTTTCCCGAGCCGATTCCTTGGACTCCTTGGGCTCTTTCTTGATGTGAATCACTTCGGTTTTTAGTGCTGACGAAGATGCTGCCTTGCTGGTGGTGGTGGGCATGGTATCGAGTTCATCATAACTCTCAAAGCTACTGCAATCACTGGCCAGATTCTTGTCCAAATGACGTTCCACCTCGTAGGTGGCTGCCACAATGGCGCTGGCATTTAGACTGGCCATACGTTTTCTGGCCAAGATGCCCTTGTAATCCCCGATCAGTTCTTCAGTGAAGGCGGTCTTACGCTTTTTCGGCAACTGCTTTGGCGGCTTGGGCTTTTCCTTCTCCTTCTCCTTCGGCTCCTCCTCATCACTTTCCTCGATCTGAACCGACTTCTTTTTCCGCTTGGCTTCCGTTTCAGTGGATGCACTCTTCTTGGGCGGCGCCTTCTTGGGTAGCTTCTTTTTCTTCACAGGTGGCAAGGGCTGCTGGAGCTGCAGTTCCTCAGTCTCACTGTCGCTATCGAACTCCCAATGCTTGCCCACTCCTCTGCCGCCGGGGACATAGCGTAATTCCCTTCGTGGCTCTGCCTCCTTGGGCGGAGCACTGACAACGGTCGTTGGAGCCGTAGACGTATGCGGCGGACTCACAGATCCCTTATCTCTATCCGCATCACCAGCATGTCGTGGCGATTCCTTGTGGTTATCATCATCGCTCCCGTCCAGAGTTCGGATGCGTGGCGGTTGTTGCGTTGCCTTGGACAAGCCCAGTTCATGGGCAGTACGGGATTCGTTCTCGTACAGGCACTGCACCTTGGCCAGGGCATTGAGGGATGCCATCCGATGTCGCTTGGGTCCACTGTAGGCACTCAGTTTTCGTTCATCTTCGGAGGAGCTGCTGTCAGCGGAACTGCCACTGGCGGGAGGTTCCTTTGCTGCGGCCGCCTTTCCCTTGCCCACTGGTTTTTTCTTACGGCCCGCTTGAGTGGGCGTTGGAGTGGCTAGTTTCCGCTTGGTTTGTTTTTTACCCGACGTGGATGTGGTGGCGGTGCTTGAGCTGGTGGTGGTGGTGGTGATCTTGGTTGCTGGTTCGGACTGATGTGCGTTGCTTAGAGGATCTACCTCCTTTTCTTTTTCCTTTTCTTTATCTTTTTCCTTCTCTTTTTCCTTTGACTTCACCTTTACCTCCTTCTCCAACGTCGGTTTTTCCTCCTTCTTGACCACGGACTGCTCTTCCTCATCTACTTGGGTCTTGGCTTTCTCCTGTCGCTCGAAAAGCTTTAGTGGCTTATTATCCTCATCGGAGAATTCGCGCAGCTCCTTAAGCGACGGCAGCACCATTTTGATCGGCTCCTCATCCTCCGATCCCGACTTGAAATCATATATATCCTTGGCCCCACTCCAGGAGGCAGGTGGTGCTTTTTGATGCAGCGACTGTTGCAAACGACCCTTCGAACCCGCCGAAGTTTTGGTATACTTCACCTTTGGTCGCTGTTTGGATGCACCTCCTGGTGGTGGTGGCGGTGGAGCTGGATGCCCAGAATCCGTGGCAGTTAACGTGGATGTCGGTGTGGGCGTGGGTGTTCGTGTAAGCGTTGCTGTGGGCGTTGGTGTAACCGCAGGCGTGACTGTGGGCGTTGGTGTCGCTGTAGGCGTGGCCGATGGCGTTGGTGTGGCCGTTGGCGTGCTAATAATCTCCTCCAGCTCCATTTGCACGGATTCTGTATTGGAATCGGGCAAACGAGAAGTGTTTTTCAGCGAAGCAGAGGTTTCCTGACCTGGCAATGCCTTTTTTGGTTTTCCCATTTTAATGGGCTTGGAAAGCTCCTTCTTCGGTTGCTCTGCTTGGGTTGGTTTCTTTGCAGGATTCTTAGCTGTTGGCTGCTTGGAAGTGGAGGAGCTTAGAGCTGGTGTAGCTGCAGTTGCAGTCGATACAGCTGGCGTTTGTACTGTTGGTGATTCTACCTTGGCCTTCTTGGCCTGCTGCACCGTCTTTTTGGGCACCTTAGAGGCCAGAGATTCCTCTGCACTGGCTGGAGTAATCTCCTGCTCCGTCTTGGGCTTATCCTTTTCCGGAATCTTCTCTGAAACCTTTTCCGTCGCAATCTTATCCTTAACTGGCTCCGGCGAGGGACGCACTCGTTTCACAGCTGGCATTTTGCCGGGATTTAAGCTGGATATCACCTTGACCGCTGCTGCCCGCGACTTGGTTTTGACATTCTCCGAAATGGAGGACTTGAGCACACCATCGTTCAGCCGCTCCTCGCCACTGGGCAACAGATTGTCGAAGCCATGGATCTTGATGTCCAGACTCTTGAGCATCTTGTTAATGGCCCGCGCCTTGCCATCTTCATGTCGCTCCTCTGGTGATAACTTTAAACTGTTCGAGGCGCCGGAAGTGGATGCAAGGGCGGTTGATGATGAAGCGGAAGCTGTGACCTTTCCACCTCCATTTCCATTCCCACTACTCTCTGTGGCGTTGTGTGATGATCCCGATGATCCTGTGGGATCCTTGCCTGGTTTCTTAGCTGCCGAATCTGTTTTGCTGGCTGACTTTTTATCCTCTGCTTCGTCGCCGCCGCCGCCGCCGCCACCGCTGCCGCTGCCGCTGGAGGTTTTCGTCTGTTTTCCGGGCCGTTTCTTGCCCTGCGCTGTAGACGATGACGCTGCTGCTGCGGCAGCCGCTGCAGCCGCCGCTGCAGTTGCCGTCGAGCGTTGGACACGCTCAGCGGCATTGGAACGCTTCTTCGAGACCATTTCAAGGGGCTGAGAAGGCGATAAGAGAGAAACGAAAGACACAAAGAGGGAGGTTAATGAAATGTTTAAAAAAAAAAAAGAAAATAAAAGACAGAGAATATCGAGGAGAAAAATGAGGGGAACGTCCCCTTCACCCTTACTTTCAGCACTTCACTTTCGTTTATCCCCCGCTCTTTCTTTATGTATACATGCATTTTCCTCGCTTTTCCTAATTCAGTTCAAGTGGCCGCACGTGACAAACAATGGAAACGCCAGGGCTACAGGAACAAGATGGTAAGGTGAAATGCCAGGACGACGACGATGCAGCACATGGAACTGTCAGTTGGAAATGTTTTTTATATGCACAAATACATATATATATATCTATATATATATTTATATACCTATTGGTAGCCAATAATATCCAATAATCATTTGCTAATCTTTCATACTTAATTTGTCTGAATTTTGAATTCTTAAAAGTATTTAAAACATAAATAAATTCCTTTAAAAAAGACTGATAATTTATGTTTATTTTTCTCTAATTAAAAGCTATTTTTAAGAATTTTAGAAGAAAGCCTTAAACTTAAAGGTAAATTTATTGAGGAAATACTAGGCCATTGCTACAGCAATAAATAAACTTTTCAAAAATATACAAAATATGCATATTAAAATAAAACATAAATAAAAAATAAACAAATAAACTGTTTATTAAGATTTCACTAGGCAAACAAATACAAAAATTATTATAAATATTTCTTTAATTTAATCTATACAAAATAAACAAAATAAGGGTATTACGTTAATTATTATTAAATCTTTTTTTATCAAATTTTAATGGGTTAAACTATAAAATATCAACAAAATATCAATTTTCAACATTTTTAGCATTAAGGACTTTAGAAAATAGGGAAAACTTTCAATATTTTTAGCTGGCAAACTATTTAATTACAAAAAATTCATAAAAAATAATAGATAAATTAGATCTAATCTAAGCCCAAGTTATATAAAAATATATTTTTTAATATTATTTTTATATATGCACATATTCTTAGCATTTCAACATTACTTGAAACCAAAACATGACAGCCAGTTTTTCTATGAATTTTCACCATATGGTTATATTAATTTGTTGTAATAACAATATAATCTCCTATTAAAAGTCATTAGATATTTATGCTCTTTACATACAAAAAACTCAATACTATTTTTAATGTTTTTTTAAGCTGAAATTTTATATTTAAAAAATGAAAAATTAACCAAAAGCGCAGGCTAAAAATGTTTACCCACAAATTATGATTGACTTTATTAAAAAAAACATTCTGTAATTACCAGTAAATGTTACTTATTTAACCACTGTAAACTAAATTTTACAGTTATTTTAATCAACAGTTTTACGTTGAAACTAGTTTGGTGTGGAATTTTCAAGAAGGTTTTTCTCTCAATTAACAGTTTTGTAAAGTAATATTTCATTTAAATTTTGGTTAAATTTTAAAATTTTAATTTTCAATCAATTTTCTTTTAAATATAAATCACAATATTCCCTCCTGCCTCTCTCTCTCTCTCTTCTACGATCGCTATTTATTTTTTGGGGGGGAAATAAAACCGTTAGAAAGCTAACTTACCTCTTGCTTGCACCGTTAGTGGCGCTCGCTTGCCGTCCCGTTCGCACTCACTGTGCTTTGGCCGCTGGTCCGCTGCAACTGCAACAACCACAACAACAGCAACGGGAATGGGAACTGCAACTGCATGTGCATGAAGAGCAACAACACTGACAGCTACAACAACAATCACGAAGAGAATGGCCAGCGGAGGGCATCCGTTGGCCGCCCATCTGCCGACCTTTAATTACGATTTGCGAACTTATTTATTTTGCTTTTTCTGTTTTTGTTCTAAAAGCCCGTCAAATTATTTGTGTTTTTATTTTCTTGGTGTTTTTTTTTTTTTAGATTTGTTATTGCTTTGCCACTTTATGGTGGGATTTGTTGTTTTTGCCGATCGGTTTTCACTTGAAATTTATACGGCGCCTAAAGGTTTCAATGTGTGTGTATGTGTGAGGGGGTGGGGAAAAACATAAACATAAACATTTTATACACATTTCGTCACAAAACGAGAGGCGCACCATTCACACACATATACATGTACACATGCACTCACGGTGTATCAACAAAAGAAAAGCCTCTCTCTTTCTTTTTTCCTCTTACACACACACAAAAAGGCAACAAGGTTGATTTCTTTGAATTTTCATTTATGATTTTTGGACTTTTGCAATCTATGTTTTCTGCATGTTTTTTTTAGATAAGTTATTAGAAAACGAGGAAAAACGATTTTACGAGCACCGTACCTCCCTCTCACACATATCTACACATATACAACACCTTACACCCCACACAAACACACACACAGGCACACACTGCGAACGCTTGGCGTGCGAAAACATAATCCAAACTTTTCCTATTGGAAACCAATTATGTTTTCCATCTCACACCGATAACTTCGCGTCCATTTATACATTGTATGTGCAAGAAAATTGCATGGGTTTCACTCAATAAACAAATCACACGAAAAAAAATAAATAACCAAACGCACATTAGAGGTGCAACTAAAGTTGATGTCAGTTCGATATCATCGATAAACATGCCGATAAGGGTATCTTACTCTGCTAATTGAAAAGTGTGGCAATGCTATTTGCAATGGTGTTCAGGCTAAATTGACAGTATCACCATATGGCAACGCCGGAGCTTACAGAGATGTTAACATGAACAAGAGTGTGCATTAGCTATTTATGGTGGATGTACTTGCTAGGCTATGTGGGTGGATTCGATATTGATAACAGTTTGAAATATATTATCGGAATTTGTAGGAGTCGATAGGCAGCGTGCCGGCTGAAATTTAATCATTAATTTTACTTCTATCTCACCGATCTTGACCAAAATATGAACGATCTGAACCTTCGTGTGGCCGCCTTAAAGCTTTGTGCCCATCCCAAACGATTCGCAGAGCTGCGTGACGCCCTCGTTCCGCTGCCCAACAGGTGGAATTCCGGTAAGTTTGGGTCACTTCGTGGCCTCCAGTTAGCCACATGTTGATCAACCTTTCTTCTTTAGCGCCACATGGATTTGTGCAACAATTTGCAGCGGCAAAGAGCAGTGCGGAACAGGTTTTGGTGGTTAAAGATATCTTTTATAAGGATCAGCAGCAGGATCATGATGAAGTGGCTCGCTTCCTCGCGGATCTCCTATTGGCCAGTCCTCTTAAACACGCCGTGCGCAACCAGCTGACCAAGTACGGTGAGCCATCGGCGATTATATTAACTCGATATTTGTTGAATATAATTTAAATAATTGACTCTTAAATTTAGACTCTTCTCGGACAATGCCCTGGCTAAACAGGATGCGAATCGGATTCACAGGCACTCAAAGGAACAGCTTCTGGAGGCACTTCAACAATCCCTCGGTGATATAGCCACAAGTCTAGAGGAAATTACGCCGCTTGAAAGCCACCATGATCGCACCAACGATGTCTTTGTGTCCGCCAATGCCTGTCTGCAGAATTTCCCCTTTGGACGGGAGGCCCTAGGCCTACAGGTGCATCTTTTTGCACCACTGCTGCCCACCGCATTGGAACGTTACTGGGCGGATATTAGGTGACGTGACCTAACTGTTTAAATGATCAAAACTCTAACCTAATGAATTCATCACCCGGTAATAGTGATCCTTTGCTGGAACTTTCTCCAACTCGTCGCAACGAGCTCTATTTGTACGTACAGAATGCTTTGCGTTTTCTGGTGAGCCTGTTATCTGAATGGAGCGACCAGTTGCACCAGCTTGATTGCCAACGATTCCTTAGCTCCGCAGATGTGGTGGCCCAAAAGGTGGCTCGTCACATGGACACGCCATGGGATGTACGTTCCATTGCTGGCCTATTAATTGGTCACCTGGCGCGCTTCTCTGGGACTTTTAAGGAGTACATATCGGACTGTTCGATCCCGCGAGCAGAGCAAGATCTTCCTGTTCAGACGGCCGCCCTGCTCGTCCTACGACGGAATGATTATTCGGAGCACGCCTCCCAGGCACTGGCCATTCTGAAGTTAATCGTAACCGTTGGCGAACGGGAGAGCAGTGTTAGCAACCTCCTGGTCTTTCTATCTAAACACTTATTTATCTACTCCAAATCTTTGGGAGAGTTGCATTCCTTTCTGCATGATGATCAGGCGGTCATATATCAGCAAATTCTTGCGGAGTTGGAAGTGTTCGCCCTGCAGAATATATCGAATGCCACGGATTCTGTACGCCACATGAGCAGCGCTCTGCTACGCCAGGTGCTACAGCATGCCCAAGTTGCTGGCCAGGATGAGCTCTTTCAAGTTGTTTACCGTCAGTTCGAGGGACATGTCGTATCACTCAGTGCCAGCTGTCTGGCGCTGGAGCAGCTCATAGCTGTTTCGGGAGTAAGCGAAGCCATCAAGAACTGTCCATCTCTGTTTGGTGTCATTTTCCCTCGCTTTCTAGGCTGCGAGGACAGCGTGGATGCCCTGTTTAAAGGTAAGTAATCTTCTTTTGCCATTAAAGCTACTTCGTTACCCATCATTAATCTCTCTTTAGCCATGATGGTGTCAGCCCACAAGACGCAGCCTTTCGCCGAGTGGCACAGCCTGTGGTTTGGCCAACTAATGGCCGCCATCCAAGTACCAGAGAAGCGTCGATCGGTCATAGAACAATTGCTCACACAGGCTGTGCAACTGGAACCCAAGACACTTGCCCAGTTGCTTCTCCATGATGCAAGGCTCCCACTCAGCAGTAAGCTGGCGGCTATTCTTAGCGTTAGGCAGCTTAGTGAGAAACGGCAGGAGCTTCTACGGGACTTAAAGCAGGAGGTGGACCAGGCACTGCTCGGTTTGGATGATCATACGCGACTTTTGGCGCTAAGATTAGTGGTGGAGACTCCGCGTCCCAGCGAGCATTTGACCAAGACAGAGGCGGAGGCAATTAGTTTATATTTACGCCACAATGCCAACAATCCAAGTGCCCATCTTCGTCAGCTGGGCTATGGCCTGCTGCAGAAGGCCTTAAGAAGAATCAATCTTGGCCTGGCCGAACACCAGAAACGTCCAACGCCGGCGGGTGAGGAACTGCTTGGCCTGTTGACTTGCCTAACCGGTGATCTCTCGCGAAATCTATTCCCTACGGCGAATTATGGTAGACGCTGGTTGTCGCTGCATTTGCTTCATGATTGCGTGGAGCTGAGGCAAAAATTGCAGCTAAAGATGAGCGAGGAGCTACTGCCCCCGGAGGCACTTCCGAACTTGGAGTACTGCCTAGGCGATAGTTATGAACATAACAAGGTGTTGGCCGCTAAGCTGCTGGAGACACTGCAAACCTGCTCCCGTTTTCAACCAGATGAGATGATCGAGTTGCTGCTGTCGTTGAGGCCACCTGACTCAGCCACTGGAGCATTTCAGTTGCAGGTCTATTGCAGGGCGAAGGTAGTGGAAACTGACTTGCCCCTGGCAATGAAGGCGAACATAGAGCATGAGCCAAGAACTTACCGGGCACTGCTGTGGTGTCTGGAGCATTTGAGGGAGGGTGTAAACCTTGCCCAACGGGATCTTGCCGAGGCAGCCAAGCTAAACCCGCTATATGGCCTACTTTTCGCCAGCCGGCATCTTCTCCAGCAACTTAATCTCAAACAACTGGCAAAGGAGTCAGCTTGGAGGCATTATATTGAAGATCTGGTGAACATCTGTCTGGAAGTCAGCAGCGTGGTATTGCCTGTGGTCAGTAGTGCGTCTCCTGAGGGACATCTGCCCGCCACTCGTGACCAGGAGACAGATCAGCCGCTGACCAATGTGCTAAGCCGTCGACTGCCCAGTGAGGCACTTCAGCAGGTGCGCACAACCCCCCAAATGGTGCTCCTATGCGCCTGGCGAAGCATCAAAGAGGTTTGCCTTATACTGGGCGAATTGGTTCAGCGGGCGCCGTTGGAAGAAGAGCAGCAACAACATCAGGGAGACTTCCTTATAAGCAGTGTCCAGCTGGAGGCCATCGGAGAGCATTTCCTACAACTACTGGCCGATACCAAGCATCGCGGCGCTTTCGAGCAGGCCTACGTGGGATTCACCATGCTGTGTCGCCGCTTCTGGCATAGCGATTCAGTGCGTCTGAATCAGCTGCCCGGCCAGTGGGTCAGTGAGGCCATGGCGATGGTCAGCGGTGAGGAGGTACGCAAGGGTGCCCGTCTGTGCTCCACTCGTCGCAGTGCCGGCATGCCTTTTATGCTGCAAGCGCTGATCTGCACGGAACTTAAACTGGGCACACATGCCACCCTGCATCGCTGCATGCACCGTTTGCTTGAGGTTTGCGAGCGGAGGACAGCTGGATCAGCTGGTATCACTGCACGCAGCCATGCCCTAAACATTATGCGCGCTCTCTTTCGCTGCAGCGAACTGGCCGAGCTGGTCACTGAGTTTATGGCCCGTGGCATACAGTGCGCCTTGGATGGCCTGCTCCTGGCCGAGGAGTGGGCGGAACGTAACTGTGCCACCTTGCTGCTTGCCGCACTGATCGTTCGGGTCTTTGGTGTGGAACGGGCTCGTCTGGAGACCGGGGAGCTGCATGTACGTAATCGAATGACTGGTCGCATCTTCTTCACGCGATATCCGCAGCTCTTTGACTACTTTCATGCTGCCCTGCAGCGGGAATCCGATCAAATGGATACGGACGAAAGTAGCAATGGTAGCAGCAATGAGACAAATGGAAAGAGGCGGCAGGCGGTGCAGCTGGAGGCAATGCTGCTCATGCTTAGCCGCCTGTATCCATCCTCCCTGGAGGGCGCCGAGTCAACGTTGAATGTAAGTTAATGATGGATTGTGTGGTGTCTTTCCTGTCCTTACATATGTTCCATTTTCTACAGCTAAGTGAGTTCGTGCCCTTCCTGATAAAGATCTGCCGCTCCCACGATTTAATGACACGTGAAAGGGCTGCCTTAGTGGTTGCCAACTTTGTTAGCCAGGAGCAGGCCGTTGCCGAGGTTAGGCGTATAGTCGTAGAGCTGAAGGCACTGCAGCTTAGGTTGAAGGTAAGTTACTGATATAATCCCGATGGTTCCTAAACCCTAAACTCATCTTTCTAAAAGGCAAACGATGCCCTCGCACTGGACACGAATCTCTTGCATGGACAATTGCTACTTCTGCTTCATCTACATCGCTTGGTTCGTTGGACGCGTCCTTCATTGACCAGAATGCAGCTGCACACCCTCGCCGCTCTGGCCGGATCGCTCCTTCAGCGCGACGTTTGTGCCTTTAGTGCTCTGGTAGAAGTTATGGTGGCTGCCATGGAGGATGCTGTTGATTCTGATCTACTAGACTTCAAGCAGCTAGAAGAGATCGGCGCTGTTTACTTACTAGATCATAGTGAAGTATATAGACGCTGCCAAGAGCATGGAATCTCCATACGTTTCTATCAAATATTTGGCCTCCATCTCCATCGATTGCGAGGCATTTCCCAAGGAATAGTGTTGCACATAGTTGAGGATTTGGCTGAACCCTTCTGGGCCCTTGACGAGCTGAAGGTTGAACTATGGCTGTACATTCTGCTGCAGAGATCACTGGGCCAGGACCATTCGCTGGTCAGCGAGCTGGACGTTGAACACTTCCAGTTTTCAGGTGACATCCGGCGCTATTATAAAACCCTCACTACGGAACAGCGCGAAGAGATTGCCCAAGAGTTGTATGAATCGCATGCGGTCCGCTCCAGCGTCCTGGAAATGATAAAAATTTCGAGCACACGCTGTTGGAGTCTCACGATGGCCGGTCGCCTAGCCGCCTTACAGCCTTTGCTTAAAGAGCCGGAATTGAATTTGAATCAGCTTGTCCAGCGATGCTCAGAGGAGCATGCCAGTCATCTGGAAGCGGGATTACTGCTCGGCCTGAAGCGACTGATTGGCGAAAGGAAAAGTCTGGAACATAAACATTGGCTGCCTTTGCTAAACTACGCCCTGGGTCTAGTCGAACCCGTCCAGCCCGTCTACCTTCGTCATCAGTCTGCGGAACTATGCCATTTGCTAGCCTCTAGTCATCTAAAAGAGCAATTAGGCTTGGGAATTGCCAAACCAGATGTGGAGGTAATCGGACGTTTCATAAGACTTGTGCTGCTTCTGCTACTGGACGAGGCCGAGTGGGTACGTCATCGGGCTGCTCAGTTGGTGTGCAGTCCCGGTTTTAGGAGTGAACAGAACGACAAAGCACGCGAAGTTTTACCCAGTGCACTGACTCCACAATTCCTAAAAGCTGTGCTGGCGAAACTTGGAAAGCAGATCGATAATCCAACGTTTCTCCTGCGACTTTTTCATCTCATAGCTGAGCCATTCCTGGCTTCTCAATCAAAGGATTCCGAACTGAATATTGATGAGGATGGGGATGTGGAGGTATTCGATAAGCAGGAGATCAACCTTTACTGTGAACCATTGCTGGTTCTCTGCGAGTTGTCCGCCGCCTTTCGATCGCAGCTTGGCAATAGCAGGGAGCTGATGGCTACCATTGATGCCCTAGGACTTCCATCGGATTTAGTTACTCATTAGAAGACCGCAATGGAGACAGAACTGGCGTCTAGACTATGCTAGCAAAGAGCATTTGATGTGTACAATGTGACTTCCTTAACTTGAATTATAGATCTTAAAATGTTTCAAAAATCAGAGCTGCTTGGTTTGGATAGTACTTATATATTGCATTTAACTATTATCGGCTTTTGCTCTTAGATTTTTTAGTTAGAAAATATTGTTTTTTTTTTTACAGACAATTGTAATTTAATAAACATTGTTTTTGATGTAAATTTTTTAAAAATAATTTAAATGAATTTTTGTTATCGCATATAGTTAGGGTTGGTGCTCGGTGCTTAAGCACAAGGCGGCAAAATGTTAAACAAAAATCATAAAATTTATAAAATAATTTGGAATTAATAATAAATTACTAAAAAGTAAAATAAAAGGTGAAGAAATGTAAATTCCTATTTAACGAGTGATGATTAATTTTTGTGAACTTCATTTGTAGAAAAAAAAGAATCTTCACGATGTCAGATTATAATTTCATTCAAAGGTTAATAGATTTTAGCTTTATTAGCAATAAATATTAACAGTATAAAATTTATAAGTCAAAAGGTGTGTTCCCCACATTTGTGCCATCTTTTTAGATTTCTTAGATTTACTAGATTGAATACCCCGTCGTTCTAGGCATACAGTACAAGCCGCCTTGGTTATTTTTTCAAATCTACCACCTCGCTGCGGTTGTAGAATCTAAAAAAAGCTATGGAAAACGCAGATACTACCTCAAAAGTTCCTGCAATGCCTGGAGGCTTTGAATTTTCTTGAAATAAAAACAGTTTTTTTTAATATTAATGAAGCTAAAAGTCGAAATAATGCATTTCTGTTCTGCATTCTCTACTAGTAACAGTTGCTGTTAACATTAACAGTATAAAAACAGAAAGTACTGAATTAGAGGGAGATGGAATTACAGAGAAAGGTGAATATAACAAAGGCGGTGAGGTGAAATAGGATCGGGACTCCTCATCTTAACTCAATTTAAAGCCAATCCCACTACGCAAATGAACAGTCGCCCTTCGCTTAAGAAAATCAACATGTTTTTTATTGAAAAATATTAAACTAAAGAAGTCGTTTTGTCGGTGGTGCGCCTACGAGAAGAACGTGGAATTGTCACCATTGGCAGTGACCGGAGCGAACTGTACGAGCGCCTTGATCCGACGTACCAGCGAGGCATTGAAACCCTTACACTTGACCGTGTAGTCCTCGCTGGCGTTGATTAGCTGCGTGCAGAAGGTCTCATTGAAGGTGGAGATGAGCAGCTGCTTGAGCTGCAGAATCTCATCTTGCGAGGCATTCAGAACGGATACATTTTCGTTGTCCAGAAAGCTTTCGTTTATGGCATTCCGATTCTCGTTGGCATAGACAACGGCGTTGCGCAAATAAAAGTCCAGGTGGATCCATAGTAGATATAGATTTTGTTCGGCAATGAAGACGGCCTGCATCAGTTCACTACGCTTCTCGTTGTGAAGCTGACTTAAGTCCATATAGCTTTGCTTGGCTAAAAGGAAAGGGAAATCAAAACAATTAGTTTGGACAAGGATGAAACCTGATTAAGAAAACTAACCATTAAAACTGATATTGGGCAGGGAGGCGCGTTGCTGGAGCAGATTGTCAGCGATCGACTTCTGCGAGAGGTAATAGGCAATGGAGCCCTTCAGTTGGTTGAGGATTGTGTGCATGATGGTCGACAGCTTCTTGCTGTCCATTTTGCCAGTTCTTTAAAAGGGATAGAAAGATAATACAATAAATATATAGATTATTTACAAATACCCAAGGGATCTTAATCCCTAAGTCGTAACTTACAGTGGCGTCACATCGCTGATCATGGTGGTTAGCAAGTATTTGGAAGTCATACTGTCCTTGGCATGGCAGGTAACCGCGTTGCGGCAATAGAGCGACAGATTGGCGGCGATGTCCAGGAAGTACTTGACACGTTCAGTTTTCGTTGACTTTGTGGCCGAGTCGCTATGCGTCTTATCCTGCTGCACCATTCGCCGGATGCTGGCCTCGGTGACGGTGAAACGCCCAAAGACGACAATCATTAACTGCTGCAGGCGACCCAAACGATTACGCAGCTCCAAGTCATTCTCCACGTCTAGACTGTCCTCCATTACGGTGACCTCATGTGTCGTTGTACGGGCCAAAAGATTTGTAATAATTGCCAACTGCTGCAGATGACCCAAGTCCATGAACGGAGTGGCCGTACGTAGCATCGCCTCCACCATGTCGATGTGGGCAAACAGGAAGTTTAGAACTTGCAGGGCAGCGGAATTGTTGTTTGATCCCAGCGAATTAAGAATCGCATCGCAGAAAGCCAGTGCTGGCAGTAGGATCGACCGGAAGCGCTCATCGATTGCCGGCAAAAACGCCTGCGGTTCGTTTTGCTTAAGCTCGCTGGCCTTTAAATCGGGCTGCAAATCAAAGACCCGCATGTTGGACAGCACTCCCAGGGCCCGCTCGGCGAGCAGAAGTCGAGCACCCACTTGCGTGTTCGCCATGCGTGTTAGGAACGCCATACGCGATTCGTACACATAGAGCGGTCTAAGGTGATCGGGCACTGGCTGTAGGATTGCACAGAGTGCCTCACTGGACTTTTCCAAGCCGTCTAGCATGTGCTTAAGGTAGCCACGTGTCGCCACAAAGTCACACAGCGTGCTCACAGCATGAAGCTCGGAGATCATATCCAGACAGGACAGCGCTAGCATACGGCACACATCGTGTCCGGTAACGGCGTCGAGGCAAATGGTCTCGATCAGTTTCTCGCCAAAAGTTCCAATCACATCCGCTGCCATTGCCTTTAGACGCTGGCGGTCGTCCCGTCGCAACTCTAAGCTACTTAACCTCGAATTATCCTGCCGAGATATTATCCTGGAAGGGTTTAAATACTTCATTTTAAAGTCATCTTTTTAGATAAAAAATAATACTTACGATTCCTGGTACTCCATTTGTTCGTCAGTGCGGAGTCTCTTTGCAATCCGCAGGCAGTTCAACAGGGCGCTGTACAAATTAATGCGTAGCTTTTGTGACTTGACCTCGCTGATCATGATCCACTCCACAAGGCTCTTAAGAATGAATCGAAGGTTGCTGCTATTGGTTCCGGCACCGATTTCTCTTACAAGCCCTCCATCCGAACCGCTGCCAATAGTCCTGGGTCCCAGGGTAAGCTTGGTTGGCTGGTTATCAATGCCATTACCATTAGTTAAGGACTCGTCGTTGGCGAGATCCTCGGAGCGCAGGTCCTCAACCTGATAGCAACAGAAGCGTAGATTAGCCAACAGCAGCAGCACTGTCTCGCTGACCTGTATGGAAATCTCGATAATGGGCTGAATGGGTTGCACCTTCATCAAGATTTTCTCGATAATGTCGATGATGTGCTGGCGCCGCAGCGTCACCGGCAACACAGCCTCGGGCATGCTGCTGAAGAGCACCTGTACCAATTGTCCCCATGCCTCCATGAAGGCCAATTTGGCACGACGCTGCGTCCGGATTCGGTTAAGGTTAACGGCATGCTTCAACAGCAGTGTAATCTCTGCGGAGATGGCCTTCCGCTGGCCGCTGACAATGGTGCTTTGCACCATGAGCAGTTCGTCATGCAGAATGTCATGAAGTTTGCGAACATTAATCAAATTCGCCGAAGGCTTGGCTCCAGCTTCGGGAGCGGACTCACAGTCCCGAAGCAATTGAGTAGTAAGCTGCGTGTCGAAGAACTCCAATTGCGGTTGAGTCAATGTGTCAATCTCTAGGACCAGGCAATCCAGCATTCGGGTGGCGTGCAATCCCTGCGATGTCTCTTGCAAGAGCGGTGGCTTCATGGCGCTCGCTCCAGATCCTGGGGCTACCCCAGGTCCTGAACTCGATCCAGAACCGGAACCATTTATTGATCCACCACCGGAGAATAGATCCATATTCATGAAAGAAGTCGACTGAGCAATCAGGCTTTGTCCTAGATCCACTGGCAACCCATGGGCTGAGCGCTGTGCATCGGATCCATTGGTCATAAGTAAAATGTCGCAAAGCTGATTGTATCTCGTGGTCTGGCCATGTGTCGCCGCCAGTTTGACATCGATGGATACACAATTGAGCAGATGGCCCATGGCGTGCAGAACGTGATCCTCCCGATGCTGACGGAAAGGCATAGCGTTCAGATGACGCAGTAGGAAGTCGTTGCAGGTCAAACGGAAGTATCGCAAGATCGTATGCGTGGTGCGACGATTGGCGCAGAGTCCGTAAAACAATTGATAGATGCGTTCCACGATCTTGATTGTGGTCTCACAGTACTCCTCGTTGTGACGCTGTTGCTGTAGCATTAGAAGGAAAAATTAGTTTATGATTGATCTCTATTAATGACCCAAAGGATTTACACTCACCTCCAAATACTTTTCCAGTAGCAAAACCAATGAGTTTACGCACGAACAGTTTGTCTCTATGGCTAATTGTTGCTTGTCGTTGGACATAAAGTCACGGAGCACGTCGACGCCAAGAAGGAAGTGAATAAAGTTGGGCAGCTGCTGGCCGAGATTCATATGGAATAACTGTACAATGGCCTCCTTTAGTTGCAATTCGATGCGCGCCGGCTTCACCTCCAGTGGGGCCTCTCCCAAATTTATGTCAACTCGCGATTCTAATGTGTGTTCGCCCATATCGCCATCATTATCGAAGCCCAAAAACGGAACATGACCGTTAAGGGCAAGCTGGTCTAGCAGCTCGTCACTTTGTTTGGCTGCGCCAACCTCCATTTCTAGGCACTCGACGAATCCCTGCCTAATCTCTAGCTTATCGTTGGAGCTCTGGGCGTACATGCATAGGATCTGGGAAGAGACATTCGGCACCTGGGTGACTGCACTTAGGATCTTGACGGCGGCCAACGCATGACGCGGCAGCCAACTGTTGTAGGTCACAAACTTAACAATGTTCAGCACATGGTCGGGCCTACGGGAGCGTGGATTTAGGTCCAGAATCATGCGATTCAGCCCGGACAACATGATCGGGCAATTGGCCGCCGAATGGTTCTCAAAGAAGACGTTCTGTTTGGCCAATCCAGCTTCAAGGAGCAGCAGGGCGTACAGGGAGCACTCCTCCAGCATCTCCTTGCCGTGAAAACGATTGTAGTCGTCAAGACGCTCACGCGCCTCTTCCACGATGCGCAGTAGAAGGTGCAGCATATTAGACTTGACCTGCAGTTGCATCATGATATGGTAGCCAGGGTAGGGCTGCTCATCGCGTGTCTTCTGGAAATCTGAGGCTCTTGGAGAGTATGTGGCCAGCAAATAGTAAAGCAGTTTCAGACATTGGGCTCCCACCTGCCACTTCTCGGCAGGATCTTTGTAAGCTCGATTGTAGAACTTAAGCAGAATTGACTCAAGCACAAAATTGAGGTAGGCATCGTAGCCGGGCTTTCGTGGTCCCACACCAAGACTTTTGGGCATATTGGTGGTCATTAGGGTGTAGAGCAGTTTCAGAATGCCACGCGTCAGCTTGTACTGCTCCAGACGACTCTCATTCTGTTCAATCTCCTCTGTCAGGCTGCACTGGCCATAGTGGCTAGTCACCGGGACGGTGGGTATGATCTGTGAGTCTTCCAAATGGAACCAGATGGCGCGTGCCGTATCCTTTGACTTCGAAAGAGCGGCCAGCGCAAACAGAATCTCCGCCTTGAGCAGCAACGGCGTTGAGCAGGCTACTAAGCCCAGCAGAACTTGCGGCGGCTGCCAACTGGCCTGCTCACAAATCATGATGCGTGAGATCTCGTCGTGTTCGGCCACTGCCTGTATTATTCCCATGACGGCTATCAGATGCTCTGCTTCTCGTTGAGTTATGCTCCTTGGGGTCGAGCGGCTGCGATAGAAGTTATCCCCGCCAGTACTGATATTGGTGTTGAAGTCGTTGCGCATTAAACTAGACAACAAAGAAAATATATAGTTAAGATAAAAAAAAAAGGATTTAGATTAAACTGCACTTACTTGTAGTAGTTGCCCAACGACGAAAAGAAATGATCCCAACTGACCGCATATGTGCCAGTGTTAACCTGGGGCATCTTTAGCAGATTGAAGGCGCAACGTGCCGAGAATTCGGTACGTGTTAGACCGGAAATCATCTTAAGATAGGACTTAAACAGGGTCTGTGGCAGCAGTTCGCTGGCGAGGCTTATAAACTTGAACAGGGACACCGAACGCGAGGTATTCTTGAACGCTTTGGGCAGTATAACACCAAACGAAGCTCCCGTGGGATCGCATGGACCCCAATATTCGTTGCAGAGTTTAATGTTAACCCGTGGATCGCCATAAAGCTTGGCAACGCTCAACATGAGCAGCTCGAAGTTAGAGTCCAAGTTGGGCGGCGGCTCAAGACCCTCATTCAGAAAGCTGATTATTGTGCGTGCTGATTCGTCCGCTCTGCCACGCAGCTCCGATACCTTGCCATGCATAAAGTCAATGAAGTCTGTGATGAGCAGGTGAAGGCGGCGGTAGATAAACTCAGTGCTGCAGGAAGAGATGCGGAATAAAGTAAGTGACAATCATAGGCATAATCATAAACACTTACTTGTAGACCAGATCCGATGTAAGCAGGGAACGGTAGAAGAAACCAAATACCTGGGCTGCCAGAGCCTCGTCGATGAGATTTTCATCGCGATTGATTACAGACAAGGCGGCGGCTTGAAGTTGATTGGGGGCATGACGCAAACTGGCCAGTGTTAGTCCAAAACTGTACGTGATAATGGCACCCAGTCCCGGGGTATTCCAGCTGCTTTGCGCGTAGAGCGCATCCAGGAAGCCCTTGGAAAACTCGGGATCACTAAGGATCGGCAGACGAGCCGTGTGGGGATTGGTGTACTCGCTGACCAACAGCACAGAGGTGTCGTACGCATACAGCAGTGCCATTAGCATGATTACAGTAACGTCATCGATGTCACCCTTGGCATCGGTGGTCTTCCGGTTGGCCAGCTGCTGTAAAAGCCTTATGGCAATTGGTCGCGGCAGTCCGCGCTGAGCCGACCAATGGAATAGGGTCATGCCCACGGCCCGTTGAATGTCCTCGTACAGGCCCAGCACCTGATTTTGATGCTTCTTGGAACCAAATGCCCGGTTTTTAGTCAGCAGTAAGCTCTAAAAAGATTTGAATTTCATTATGAATGCAAGTAGTAAGAAAGTTTCGAGATAGAAACTTAAAGTTCTTCTAAATGTATTAATGTGTGAATATTTAAATGGGAAAGATTTCATTTATGATGAAATAGAGGCCTATGAGGTCGGCAAGGGCATAAAATCGTAAAACCCAAGACATAATTTCCCCTATACAAAGACTTATGAGCCATATCGAGTCATATCCTATCCTTAAACCCACCTCCTTGACGACATCCATCTCCTCGAGCAGCTCCAGCAGGCGTCCCAGAATGTTAGAATCCTCTACAAGGCTCTGTACATAGTTGGTGACCAGGCTAGTGATCTAATTCGGAAAAAAGAGTTTCAGACTTAGTGTATCCCAAAAAGGCAGACTGCGAACTCTCGAACTTACCTCCCTGGGCAGCTCAGTGCTCCAGGAGACACCGCTGATTGCCTGGAACATATCGCGAAGGGCGCAACTGATGGCCTTCCGTCCATCGTAGTAGAGGAGCACCGCCACCAGGCCTCTGGGCAGGCCTGGGTGATGAATCTGCTGGCGCTGAGCAGTACAGAGGAGCTCTAAGGCGAATATCTCGTCTAGATCGAACATATCGGACAAAATTAACGCTTCGTCGACCAGATCCTTTGAGAGTTTTGATTTCCGGGATTGTCCCGGCAGCGGAATGCCTTCATTCAAAGCATTCCTTAGATGACCGCGGCTCTTCTCGTTCTTGGCCTGTCGAATTGCGATTCCAAGGATTAGTTTATACATGTCAACCTTATGGAACACTAAGGATTCTACCCACCGGATTGCGTAGGAAGTTGGTAAAACTGTGTTTGTATTTCTTGAGGCACACTTCCAGATCTGAGGTGATGCCATTGGGATTGGACACTGTTGCCTGGAAAACGCTGTACAGATGTTTGTACGGCGTCCACATGTCCTCGGTTACACCTGTAGTCAGCGGGATTTAGTTGGTTTAGATACGATTTATGATCAACCAGGTTACCCTGGCGGGCCTGGAGTCTCACTTACCATCCATTTTACTTGTTTTCACAGTTCTCGAGCCGGCGGCGCAACAGTAGAGCTATAAAACGCGGCAAGTTTGCTTCGGTTCCCGATAGGCAAGTTGTTCAGATCCACTAATATCGATAGGCACCGGCTTCCAGGGATGGATACTATTAAATACTATTAATAATACAGCTGATGGTCATTACATTCTCTTACGTTATGGCAGCCCTAGACCTATTATTTTAAATCACGGATCGTGGATATAAATAATTTTTAATATTACTTAAATTCTTAAAGTGGTCATGTTGAATTTTCAAACAGTTGCGATAAGTTTCTCATTATTTTTGAATTGTAAAATATAGAATACCTTATTGTATTTATGATATAGTGTGTTCCAAATGTTGGCTGTAGTATTAAATACATTTAGTGTATTTTTATTAGCTACTATAAAAGCTTAACAACTTATAATTAAAGCTAATTTTTTTCTAATTCTTAACTGCTTGTTTGCCAAGAGTATTAATTGTCTTTAAAAGATTAATTATGGATTATTTGTTAATTATAGGACTTTTTGGCTATGTAAAAGTACAGATATTTCTTCACTTAGTATAGGTAATCTGAATAACGTTCTTAATAGTAAAGTATAATAAATATATAGTTTTTCCCAATATTTTTTAGTCACTAAAAATATATTCTTTTAAGATTTTTAACTTCAAGGAATATTATTAACCTTAAGTATAATTTGATTTGTCTGTTAATATGAAAGATTTAAAGATTTAATATTTAAAGATTTAATATGACAGATAAAGCTAGTTTCATAATATATTTATTTCTATTCAATCTAATAATAAATTTAAAAAAAATTGCTGTTTTATTCATTAAAACACCTTTAAATCCAAGTTGTATTTTCAAACAGTTGCGATAAGTTTCTCATTATTTTTGGATCTAGAGACTTAAGTTATCAATTGTACTGACAGCTTATTGTAAAATATAAAATACCTAAACTTTCTAGTTCTAAAAAATAATATAGAAATATTAATAATCTTATATACTTTTTAAAAGAAAATAACGGTCTATAAGAACGACATCAAACCATCAAGTTGGCAGCACCTCGGTAGATGGCATTCCCAGCTTTGACGACTACGGTCACACCACACACAACTTCAGTGCGGCGCGGGCGGGGCGTTTTTCGTGAAAATCTACGCACGGACTTTTCGTAGTTTCCCGATAGTACCATCCGTTTGTTTTGTTCCGCCTTTTTTTTCTGTTTTTTTTTCTCCGCCACTCTGTTTGGTATTCGAACGCAGTGCCCAAGTGTCCAATTCGAATTGTGAGTGAATCACCAATGTCCGCGGGCAGTTAAAACTGCACCTTTGTGGGATGCTGGCTGACAATGCAAATGGATATGGATATGGAAATGCAATCGGCGCAGCGAAGCTACAACAAATTATAACTACGAAGGATTCATATTCATTTTCGTATTCATTCAAGAAGGACAATATAGATTGTAGCAAATTGGCAGGCAAATTCAAATTCGATTGGAAGTTATTCGAATTGGAATTGAAATTATAACTGGAGTTGGAGTTGGAGTTTTGACTACTGGGTGTGCGAGAGCAAAAGAGAGGGAGAGAGGCAGTGCAAGTGTGTGGGGGTAGCAGTCACACAGACACACACACACACTTTGACTACTCCAGTGCATAAAACTCCAAATTGCGTTCGTCTCTCTCATCGTTTTTGTTTGCTCTCTCCCCTTCGTTCGCCCACGCAACGCCTGCAGAGAGAAGGAGAAAGAGAAGGACAGTAAGGAAGCGAGAGCGAGAGAGCAAGGAAGTGGTTTTTCCACCGAAAATATGGACAAAGGCAAACTGCAGAGTTAGCTGAAAAAAAAAAAAAAACGAGACACAAACAGAAACAGAAATAGCGGTTAACTCTGCTCCCTTACTGCGAATCGTTGAAATTCAAGACGGATCGCTATCGCATTTCTTCAATTATGTCTGTTTCGCTTTTCATTCCGCTGCAATAAGCGATCGCAGCAACACAAAAAGGGAGAGAGCGAAAGAGAAAGGAGAAGGAGCGAGCGAGCGAGAGACAGAGAGAGAGTGAGTGCGCTCTCAATTGACGACTCCCACTCCCACACACACTCCACCTCAGTCCCCCCTCTTACCCATAATTACTATGGATTGTGGTGGTATTGCGGCACATCAACAACAACAACTACAACAGCAACAACTGCACTTACTCCAGCAACAGCTACAACAACAACAACATCAGCAGCAGCACCAACAACAACAACAACACAACCTCGAGGAAGCAGCAACAATAACAAATGTAAGTATCTCCCAAGTTTCTCCAAATGTGTTTGTGTTTCTCGGTTATTTCCTCTGTACTTCATAATTCGCTCCCACACACAAAAAAAAAATCATAGGGCTGAGTACACAGAAGAAAAATGCTGGTACATAATTATTTTTATGTTAAAAATTTTAATTTAAATTTATTTCTATATTTCTATATTTGAAAGATATGCTGATATATAGTTGAATATAGTCCAGGATTATGGACATTTTTGTATCAAATACTCCTTTCTCTCTGTGTATTTATGATATAGTGTGTTCCAAATGTTGGCTGTAGTATTAAATACTTATTGAATTTTTGTTAGCTACTATAAAAGCTTAACAACTTATAATTAAAACTAATTTTTTTATAATTCTTAGCTGGTTGTTTGCCAAGAGTATTAATTGTCTTTAAAAGATTAATTCTGGATTATTTGTTAATTATAGGACTCTTTGGCTATGAAAAAGTACAGATATTTCTTTACTTAGTATAGGTAATCTGAATAACGTTCTTAATAGTAAAGTATAATAATTATATAGTTTTTCCCAATATTTTTTAGTCACTAAAAATATATTCTTTTGAGATTTTTAACTTCAAGGAATTGTAGAAACCTTAAGTATAATTTGATTTGTCTGTTAATATGAAAGATTTAAAGGGTTCGATAGCTAGTTTCATAATACATTGATTTCTATTCAATCTAATGATAAATTAAAAAAAAATTGCTGTTTTATTCATTAAAACAGCTTTAAAGCCAAGTTGTAAGGCCAAATTTTCCATTTCGTCTCATTAAAAAAAAAATGGGGCAAGACAGAAAAATTAATAAAAAACCGATAGCGTCGAGTGGGATGATTAATCTCTAGGCCAGCTGCTGGGGCAAAATGAGAAAAAAAATATAACATCAACTCAACACTTTTCGAGGCTCACAAAGTGCCGACACATTAATTGGTGTACTAACTTTTTTGCTCTTTCTTTCGCTTCTTTCTCCGTTCTTGCCCCATTACTTTCACCGTGCATAAATTCTGAAAGAGTTCCCGATCGTTGTTGTTCTGTTTCCTTGTTTTTCTGTTTTTTTTTTTTCTTTCTTTATTTTTCTGAAGTTCTTGGTTTGTTTATATGAGAGCGGCAAACGAAACGTAGGAGAAAAACCCGATTCCCGATGAAAGACGATGTGCGATACAATACTGCAACAACAACAGCAGCAACGTAAGCGACGCAGTTGTTGGTTGCCCCCTTTGTTTTTGCCGCAACGGCATGCGTTGCCCCGCCCCCCACTTTTGCGTCTTTAGCTTCAATCAGTTTGTGGCATACCCCCGACGAAGAAAGGTCGATTAGTTTCCGGATCAGGATGGTAATAAATAGGTTAAGCAAAAGCTCAATTAAGTCGGGTTCAAGTTGATCAAATCAACTTGGTTTTTGCAGTAATTACATTATTGTTATTGATGAAAAAGATTCTATCAGTTATATTTAACTTTAATCTAATTTCATTTTTCATTCTATGAGTATTATAAGTTGCCTTCATTTTCAAAATTAAAATTCTCAAGTTAAAGTAAACGAAAATAAGATATCTTTCCAGTCCTCTGATTGTTTTGATCCCTTTTGATATGGTTTCGATGGACACAACTAGAAATATTGATAAACAGTTTTCTTTTCATTAAAAAAGGTAAACGAGTAATTCGTTTATATTTTTGAGAAAATGTAGATATCCCAGAGAGGTTAGCTAGGTGAGGATCCCTCGACGTGACTGCGTTGTACCTCAAGGATTCACAGCAGGATATTGTCCTTTCGTTGCGTGTCAAATTTGCTTAATTGCGCCCATAGGTCAGCAAAATTCGTCAAAACTGCGTTTACCTAACCATTTCTGCTTGTCCAGCACGCACGAATTTTCATTTTCCTAAAAGAAAATATTGCACATCAGCAAAAAAAAAGAAGGAAACTAAAGGTATGGGAACGGCTGAATAAGCGTTTGTTTGACGGCAATAAAATTTTTAAATGTGTAAATTGGGGTTTCAAAGTAGTCAGTTTCGGTTGGTTTTTTAAACACCAGCTGTTGGGGTAAATAATTGAATATTTTATTTTTATAATAATTAACATAACATTTTTATCATAAAAACTAAAACCATAATTTTTTACAATCTCATTTCGCTAGTCACATTCTTATAGAGATTCAAATATGGAAGACATTCCATTATGATTAATTATATAAACAGATAGTAATGTAGTAGAGTTATCTGAAGCTACTGTTAAAGCGTATAAAGTCGTATACTTTGATGACCAAGTTTCTTAGACAAACTTAAGAGATAATATCTTAAACTGTTTTTGCAATTACTATTTGTGTTTAGTCATTCGTTATCATTACATTTATGAACGAATACATCATTTCAGTACAAGAATTTTAATGCAAAATCTCTCTAATTTGTTGCAGTAACAAATTTCTTTTATTTATGAATAATTGGTCAATATAATTAATATTAAATTTTGTCGCATCTACCCTTTTCATAATGTACTAGCCCTGATTTTATCGAACACATTCTAGAACTTTCTTTACCGCTTTCACTTATTCAAAAAGATTTTTAGTAGGCTAAAATAAACAAAAAATCCATTTACATTACCCCTGATTTCTTACCGTGCACGCACTTGCATCTGCCATCCAGCCCTGCCAACTTGCCTGAGTAACCAAGTCAGTTGGCAGCGCTAGCAGCTCTCTCGCCTGCGTTTGTTGTTTGTAGTTTGTGCTGTGAGTTTCTGCGTTTGTCGTTGAGTGCGCCATTTGCGTTTCGACCGACGCGCGCAGGAGACGTGACATCGCCAGAGCGGAGCGACGTGAGACGGAACGAACAAACGAACGGAAAGGCGGCTGTAAAGGCGAAACGAATACGAAAGGCAACCGAATAACGACGAATCTGAACAAACGGAACGGCGGATGCGAATGCGAGAGTGATTGGGAAAAAAAGAGCGCGCGCGGAATTCGAAGTGCACAATTATTCAATTTTATTTTTATTTATTCGTTCTGTTTTTTTTTCCGACTTCGCGTTCCGTTTCGGTCCAAATACGTCGCCGTTTAAAATCTTTTTTTTTCTTGTTCGCTGCGTTTATTAAGTTCCTTTAAAGTGCCTGATCCATTGTGTTGTGATTGCCGCTTTTTATATATACAAACATCGGAGGAAATCGAAGGAGAAGGAGCATTGCGCGGGGTAAATGAAGCAATAATTAAAAGTGCCTTTTGGTTAATTGCTAGAAGGGGGAGTAACGAGTAGGCGGACGAGGGGGTAAATGAAAAAGAGACTGTGAAAGGCAAAAAGAGAAAGAGACAATCGCAGGAGTTATTGGCTTTGTTTGTTTTTGGCAGTTAAATGCTTTTTCGATTTTTCCAAGTTAGTAAACTTGACTCACACGAGGTGACCAAAATCTGTACAGCTAACACTGGAATCTATTTTATCATTATTTTACTGCAGATAACCTCATTTCAGTGAGGCATATCAATTTAAAAAGCAACTTGACGGCGTGCAGATGCACTATATTTGTACAACAAACAAATGGGGAAAATCAAACATTATGAACTAGAAATGTAGTTCATAACCTAATTGTGAATGCAGGTTAACATTTATTTAACGTTCAATTGGATATTATTTTGAAAGTAAATTAAAATGTCTTTTCAATTAATCAAATCAGTAAATTCAAAATGAAAACAAATGGGAAAATTCACCCATTAAAAGCAAGAAAAGGTTAGACCTTGAGTTGATTTGTATTATTGTTTACTTTGTCTTTCATTTGTTGCGCCCTTTGCGAATGGCATTTATGTTGTAATGGCACCGAAGGTGGCAACCCTGGTCACTATTATTCTCCCTTGTGATTTTTGCCGGTTTTTCGCTCAGTCAAATCGCACATAGAAATACACATACACATATATGCGTCATTCCTACCCCCTCCAACACCGCATCTTCCCTCCTGCAGAGAGTTAACCGTTGTATTGCCGACTCCTTGGCCACTCTCTCTTTTCGCCCACTCCTTGCCTCCTCCTTCGCTAAATTGCTTCTGCACGTTCGTCAAATATTTGCTCAACTCTTTTTAATTACATTACACACACTCACGCACACACCGTTTGAACCCTTTTTGCCATTAGCTTACGCAGGGGGCTGTTTTTTGGGGTTAAATCGACCCCCAAAATCAAGGATTTTTAGCTGTTTATATTTCCTCTGACGACACACGTACTTACATATTTTTCAAATTATCAATAAAAGCGAGCATTAAAAATGAAAATTACATTTTCTCGAAATTCCCCTATAAAAAATTACTGCCTACACCACTGGCACGCACACACACACACACAGACGCCAAGAAACAGATTGTAATTGCAGATCTCTCGCCGATTTAACGGGAGAATGGGACCAAAAAAAAAGAGAGCTGCATTTGGAAAAGTGTGACTCACGCAGCAATTCGTCGAAATTCAGTGATTGATTTTATAGATTCCAAGCAAGACAAAAGGCACTAGACCTAGACCAGTTTTCTAGTTTTTCCAGCCATGGCATGTCCATTAATTATACATGTATATACCTTGGGTCTTGGGTCTTTTTTCTTGTTTGTCATAAGGAGTCGGGGGCGTTGAGAATTCTTATACCCTTGAAGGAGACATTTATGACCCTATAATGTATCAACATATTCTATCTTGACTTTAAGATCTCGGGAAACTATAATTGCTAGAGAAATTGGAATTTTTATCAAGTCTTCATTTAAAAGTTATCTTGATCTGAGGACTAAGGGATAATAATTAGACCTGATTTTAAGGGAAATTCAATATGTCTGTACCAGATTCTACATTACAATGTCTATGTAACTTTGGTAATGATCCACTTGACCGAGTGTTTTGTAATGGAAATATGTACCGAGGAAAGTCTGCTGCGATTGCATTAGCTAGCCCTCTTGTTTTTCGTTTCTGGTCTTTTGTTCAGGCCCGCAGCCAGCCACCCACACATGTGTTTGTTACGAAAATTCAAGCAGAC